ATAAATGATTACGTAATATCATGCAAAAAATATCAAGGCAAAAAAAATTCACATGATCATATAAATGCCGGATAACTGTTTGATAAGTTGTCTGTTAGACAATTGTATTGTCAAATAACCTGCTCCACTACAAAAATTTTTGGGGCACGACAGTTTAGATCATATGCATGAACTGAATTAGCCCATATGAATTATAAAAAAGCCCCCCTGTTTCGCAGAGAATCTAATTAAAATTTTTATGATGGGGTCCTATTTCATCACTAGCGCTAGTAATATTCAAAAACATGATCTATTGCTATGTGTGGGAAAAAAACCCAATCAGGTTCTGATCAAGAACGCCGTAACCATTGCGTTCTTGAAATAGGTTATATGTAATACTGATATCTGCATAATGATAATTCTGTAATTTGTAACGGTAATCATTTATATAAATCTATGTAGTATTATTAATAATATTAATAATTTAAGTTCTTTTTCTTTCATGCCGATTCGAAAAATCTTAACTACTATTAAGTTGCATTTATCTTTGAGTCATTCTGTTTTCATTTTGCTTTGAAATTTATAACTAAATATTTATTTATTGCCACCTGTGAAATAAAATACATGTAACTGTTCTTTATAAAGTGTTATCAGTAATGCCGAATTTTGCCCCAATGGTAAATATGAAGTTATGATAAATATATTTATAAATGTTACAGATACATTAATTTATCATAACAGACTTGAATATTATGACTATCTGGATTAAATAAAGTTATGTAGTTATTCACATCACATTTAATTTATTGCATTAATTTAGGTGTTCTCACTCAATGGAACGGAGGCAAATTTTTAATTATTCGGAAATTAAATAAATTAATCAAGGAGGTTACCGTTTTGATGAAAAAAATCTTGGAGGTGCAGACCATCTTTTTTTTTCATCTGATTGGTTAAAATTCAAAATCCGCATTTCACACAATGAAATTTTAGCAGTCGTCCTTCGGTTTACTACATTACATTAACCACTCAATTGTGAGCAATGATTTGAGCAACATCCCTATCACTAGCTAATCACTAGCTAATCACTAGCTAATCACATTGAGGGAGCTGCTTGAGAATACCCCTAGTCTGTATAACGATCAATTCATCAATCGAATTCTTAACTATTTTCATCATTATTATGTAAAAACGAATTCAACTATTTTTGAAAGTATCTGAAACAGAATTAGAAATTATAGAAATTATAATATAATCCTTCACACAATTATAAATTGTCAATTGTACTTTATTCTTATTGGACATACATCTTTAGGCACCACATAATTTTGAAGAGTCTTTTGATCTTCCGCAAAAAACAACAGATTAAAAAATATTGAATCAGACTTCATCTGATTAAAAAACAATAAACGATATAAAGAATTAAATCGTTCAAAGAATTCTCCAAGAACATGGAATGGACAAAATAGTATACTTTTTTATTTCTGTAAACGATAAGTGCTTCTAATTATGCCAATAGGGTATAAATTAGTAACTTCGAATCTCGCATAAATTTACTTTTTTAATTAAAAAAAATTTAAAAATTTTTTTTCGAATGCACTTTTTACTATTTTGTTGACTGTAATCAAAACTTTAAATACCGATGATGTAACTGGATCTTGGAGATTAAATTATCTCACTCTCTAATTTAATCAGCATCTTAACTCCGGTGCACTTTACGAAAATTCCCATTCTTATGTAGTATGAAGTATAAAGTCTATCATTGTAGACTAAATTGAGAGTAAAATTTTTATTAATTATTCTAGAATATTCTGTACAGAATTTGCGTACAGTACAGACACGTCATATCATTACTAATAGCTATATAATCATTCATAATTAACATCGTATCCATTTTTGTTACCGAGTTGTAAGTCTTTTTGTTTCTTAAATTCCTTTAGCTCTCCTAAATCCCTAGAAATTCTTGATTTTCTTCTTCCGCATTCATGCCATTGGAAACGCCATTTATTTCCAAATTGAGATATTCCGTTCAGTCCACTTGTATTGTTTCTTTGCAATTTACGGTTTAAATTATTCTTTCGATGATTTGTTTCTTGTAAATTACAATTCCGGTTATCCATACTTTCTCGATTAATATGACCAACCATTTTAAAATTTGTGATCATACGATGGAAATAAACATTTTTTCCGTTAATTCTAGCTCCGACGTAGTATTTGCCTTCGATTTTATGAACATTCCATACATGCTTTCTAACATGTTTATAGTTTTTCGTATCACAAAGGAAGGTGATTTCTTCTATTTGAGTTTTAACTTCAAGGTATGTTCCTCCTTTAACTGATACTAAACGGGTTTGGTTGCAAATTTTGGAGTTATTTGAACTATGTTCCCACTTAGAGAGAACCCTGAAGGTTGAGAAAATTTCATTCCAATAAGACATTTAAAGTCTTTGTTCTTTGATGATCTAACGCTAATTTGTTCAAAAGATGTTATTGTTTATCTTCCAAATAAAGAAAAGAATAGGCGAGAAAAAATTTTCGGATGTATATATAAAAGTAAGGTAAACAAACCACCTGATTGGTTATCATATCGGGGGTTTGCTTTTCTAATTTTCCTGAAATGGTCTGGATTATGCGGATCGTGATCATTCTGGATGACAAAAAAAAAATAAAGCGAAAAATAAGGAAAATAAAAAAATGGCAGTCTAAACCTATCTTGATACACTAACAAAAAAGGTCTAGAATGTAATTTTACTTATAATACTGTCCATAATCCTAACTAAAATGGACCCTAACTAATACTAATTAAATTATTTTTAAATTTAATTAATCATTTTTAAATATAATAATTTCGGAAAATTACACAGACTTTATAATCATTGTTCATTGGGGTGTATCCTATCGGTCAATTTACAAACATAGTGCACATCATAGTAAATTCTAATAATGAAGTTTTTTTTAA